CACTATGGCTGCCGTCCCATCATCCAGGTGGATGCTGCACATTGGTGGTGGTGGACGGGAGTCCCCATTACCTGTAAAGTGCTTTGAGTGGAATGTCCAGAAAAGCGCTATATAAGTATAAGCAGTTATTATTATTATTAAGAGAAACTGGAATGCTTCCAGAGTGTTGTCTATAGGTGGAACAGATTTAAATCTGGGTCCTGCAGAGCTCTTTGGAGTGTGAAACTCCAATTGGTGGCAAACAGCAGGAGAACTTTCTAGAGACCACAAAAGCAGGATGCGCTTGAATCAGCCCATAGAGCCTGCCAACTGTCCTCTTGCAGTACATGCAGAGGAACGGGATAGGGAGAGGTACTGTTGATGTTATTCAGCCCATCTGTTTGCAGATTGAGAATGCAGATTTCTTGAGCAGCGAATGACTGTGGCTGAGCTGCAAACTGATAAGTTTATACAAATTGACCATTCAGATTTTTCAAAAAGGTATTTTTCAGCATGTGACACCCCCGTTAAACAAATCTGAGGGAAAAAATATTTGGAAAGACCAGTTTTATTTACAAAAAGACACCACTGGACTGGCATATTAAATACAATATTGACCAAAAGCTTAGACAATCTTACCTAATATTAATAAACTGATATAATGGCTTAAGCAAAAAAGGCAATAGTTTCATTCTAAAACCTTGCCCTAAATGTTATATATGACTTCCAGCCCAATCCTCAATCCCAGGCCTATAGTGCAAATGCTAACCTTATCATACTATATACTGTAGCACCTGACCCCAAACTTAAATGTACACTCTAACCAAACCTAATCCTACATCCAACAATAAACTCATGAGTGTACAGTGATATCGGTCAGCTCTGATGACACATCAGACCATTTTCTGACCTCAATGCTGACCGTAGCTCTGCTACCCAGTCCTGACGACCTCTTTTCCAATTGATGTAAAAGCAACGATCGACAACGATCTTATTTCACTTAGGCTAAAATGCCATTGAACTGTAGTTTGTAGTAACAGGTACTGTAGGTTAATACTTAATAACGAAATAAGGACAAACACCAGTTCGTGCAACCACAAAGAAGGTCGTTATGTTTAATTTACACTTAATGCAACATTGCAAGCTTGCTTTGATCTTCAGAATGAACCTCACTATTTCAGCAGTGGTGTGTACCCGACACCGCCCTTACACACTGAATACCAGTTACAGTGCAGCGCATGGTTTCACTTTGTGAATACGCCTTGCATGAACGTGAGGCTGCAGCCTCAATCGCAAAGTCCGATTGCAAGCAATGCAGACTGTAACTCAAAATCCGATTCCTTCATTTTTAAAGGCCGGCGTTTTCGTTCACTGGTGGGAGAAAGAGAGCATTAACGCTGTGAATAACGTCCACACATTTAAAAAAAAAACAATTGCCACCTCACCTTTCCTGGAAGGAACTGACATCCTGTAGCACCAAGGCTCGACAAATCCACTCGCATTTACTTCCCAAACGTCAGAAATGACGCCTATTTAGCTGGTGATCTGGGTAATTAGCACAGTTAAACTAATTTCTCCGTATGAGCAAATATTACAGTGATACAATAAAGTGAATGAAGGATAGGTCAATCGTTGCGGTTAAGATTAATGTGTCCATTATTTGACGCCGTTTACGTTTAGGCTAAACAGAGCTGACAGAAGTGGACTAAGCTTTTCTTTTCTGAAATGCGTCCAAAATCCATATCCCCAAAAGAAACGACTCACTGAAAACGAGCATCCAACTCCGATTTCCTCTTAAAAATCCTCACCTTCAGCTGTTCTTCACAACAGGGGTTTAAATCGACCGTTTTTGCGTTGAAATGTATTTGGGAAGATTTTTTATAACTACTGAAGTACGATAAAAAATAATTTTGAGTCCGTTTCTATTTATTCTGCAACACGATGTGCGATTAGACACTATTATTTGTGTAGTTAAAATAAGTAAAATAATAAATGGTACATTTATTATTAGACATTAGAGATGCAACAGAAATGAACGAGAACCTGAACAGAAGACTTTACATAAAAAGATGTTTTATGACAGACACTTGCAAGCTTTTAGAGACGAAGACAAAGACTAATCACAGAAGCAGCCTAATGATTATCCATACCCCGTTTTTAAAAATTAAAAAGGCAAAACAAAAGGGTGATTATACAGCCTTGTAGTTTGCAATCGTGAATTATCCAGTCTAACAAAAATACAAACTGTAACGGTTACAGAAAAGGGGAGTTTTTTCCCCTAATCATATAACTATCTAAGATCAAATTTTCTTTCTTATAAAATGAAAGTAAACTGAATAAACAATTGCTGAGTTTTGCAACAGCTGGACTTCTAACCAACTAGTTATTCACCTTTGCAAATCCGTACGGCCCACAGGTCCGCCCATCTATACGTCACAGTTTTGTGTGCTCACAGAAACAAGTGACGAACTACACACGCAGTGCCTTTGAACTATTTATTGTCTTGGAGAGAAACCGGGTGGGAGAGTGCAGGTAAAATAACTACTGTGATTTTAATATAGTTAAAACTCCGAAATGTAGCGATGGATTTAATGTAAGCGTTTCAGAATTGGTAGGTTTTGGATATACGTAGTTATGAGCGGAAATGTACTTTTATGATTTGTTTCTTATTGACCATGCTGCAAGCAGGCATGATGGCTTACTCACCAAAAAACAAAGCCGATTTTCAAAACTCACAGTGCAATAATTAGCATCCCATACATCTAGTTATTCTTCCACTGAACCGTGCAGAGGAATTTACAGCTTAGCACTCGTGTTCTTGATTCTTAAATCCGTTTACGAAGCAATACGTAACCCTGAATATCGTGGAAAATGTTTAAGAAAGGATTTATTTTCTGGTTTTTAGATACTGACTCCATAAGAAATACAACTATTGTCGCACATTACGTGAAAACAACTGTAGTGGAACCCTACGAATTGCTAGTACTGTAGGTATCAAGCCCCTGGTTAACTTCAGTGAAAAATCTTCCGTTCCGCTGAAACAAACTACTGCACTGTATAGTTAACCACGGGAAAAAACATAAGCCTTACACGCAGGCATTACTTGTACATGGAAAAGCATGGATTGTTATCGGCATTTTTTATAGTATTACAAGATTAGATTAAAAGTATTAATCCTTCAATCAACACCTTGGAACACAACGCGTAACTGCAAGTACCACAGTCTGTAGCAACCTTGAAAGACAAGATTATAATAATTTCGTAAGATGGATAACGTTTATGTAAGTGTTTAAAAATTTAATCGACCATAATATATATTCTACAAATGCTCAACAAAAAGGTGCTTCATAAAGCAGTGATTGTTGTAAATTTTTAAATACCAAAATAAAAAAAAATGTCCATAGTTAACTTTTTATTTAGCTAAAAAAAGAGTTAACTGACATTACGTGTGCAGAGAAAAGGGAGGGGTGGGCAGTATAAAGCGAAGATGAAGTAGGATTGTGTGTGGATTTGTCTGTTGTTCGCTTTCAGCAGTCGTGAGCATTTTCATCTCTTTGGCACTGGGGTAGCCCTTTGTGTAGGAAAGGGTTTCCAATTTTTTTCACTGTGTGCTATACACCCGTGGTTGTATGATTATTATACTGTTTGGCATTTCACTTTCTCTGGACGAGTCCTGAAGGCTCCAGGAATATTATTGTAAAATATCGTAGAGGCCTACATTGCTGCTGTCTAGAAATGTTGGGGAACATCAATGTTTTTGAATTCACCAGGGAATGGGAACTGATCCAGAACAAACTTGAAACTGTATAGTTTAAATAAAGCTGCAAATCCAAAAGTCTTTTTAATGAAAATACCTGCTACACTCTTAGAACTGAAGCAGAAATGCCTTAATAAAACATTTAACAAGATCGAGAACTACAGCAGGTGGCGTTCTTACAGTGTTGTATTATAGGATTCTTTTTATGTCCTGATTTTGCAGAACTGAGAGAGCTGAGGATGTTGCGTCTGCGTTGCAAGGCTAAGAATGGGACTCACCTGATGCAGGGCCTCACTCAGCTGTCCTGTGTGCAGGAGCTGAAGGACAGGGTGGCCGAGCTGACAGGCATTCCCTGCGAGGTGCAGAAGATCATGGTAGGATACCCTCCGTCTAGCCTGGACCTCAGCAATGGAGACGCCCACCTCAAAGACTACCCAATCAAGTCAGGTACCTGGGAAAATAGAGTCCCCCTTAGTCGAACGCAATTATGCTTTTAAAAATGTATATATAAAGGGACGGTCTGCAATGGATTCGCATCCTTGCCTTTTGCCCATTGCTTTGTGGGATAGGCTCCTTTTCCCTCGCAACCCTGTGTTGTATAGAGCAGTTAATGGATGGGGATGATGTTTGGTTGGTGGAGGGGTGCGACTTACTTCTCATTACAGGTCAAGGTCACTGTTGTCTGATGTTATGTTTCAGTCACAATTCATCTATCCTATAGCTTGGTAAACTCACCATTCTTGATCTTTCCAACCAGTGGAGAGAGAAAAAACTAGAGTGAATAGTATAGATAGTTTTGTCACCGACAGAGAATAATACTGTTTCGTTGAGCTCCTTCTAAGCCTGGAGTTTACAGAGCTTTGCTTTGCTTTCTGAGAATGGGGACTTATCCTATTTTTCCAAACTGTTTTCCCTCAGGGCTGATGTACATGGGGGGTATAAATCTCAGCCTTCTGCATGAGAACCCAGATCAAGGCCCGCGTAATTCCGCAAAACCTAACTTAACCAAACACTGCTTTTCGTGTGCTCTGTTCTGTGCTTGGTGTTGTGTGGTTTTCTGTACCATCTTAAAGGGGAACTGCAGTCCCAATTTCTCAGACAGGCTATTTTGTTGTGTTGCTAACAAAATAAATTGATTGGTGGTATCTCAGAATTGGTAAAATGTTGAATTAAACATACAATCGTGCACTTTGTGAATGTACTGTATAGTTGCCATGTTGTCAAGAGTTTGTGAGAATTGTAACATGAAGCAGCCCTTCCTGCTCACAAGTCGCTGTAATGATTAAAGGAATGTGATGTACAAGTGAAGGATGAACTAAGTGCAGGTTGTACAGAGGACATTTAACTGCAGAAATGTTCCAGCATGATCTAAGTTGAGAGCAACATTTCTATTGGATTTAAAGAGATATTCACAATCCTGGTTGTTTACAACATAATAGGACTGCTTTTGTTTTGTTGCCTCATACTGAATTGCAGACAATGACGGCAATATGGCACTGCCCATACTGGAAATTGTCTATTTTGTGATGTAAGTAGGAGGTTTAAAACAATTCTGTGTACTTTTTACTTTCCATTAGGTTTGAAATGCACTCATCAGTGCTGCTTCTTTCTAACCCCGGATTATAAAAGTAACAGTTCCACTTTAATGAGGCTCCTCTTGGCATGAAAGGGATCTGTTTGTACTGAATAACCAAACAATCGAGAATCTGGTAGTCCAGTCTTGTGCTCAGTTAACCTTTATTGCGCACAGGAATTCCACAGTGCAGTTCACAGTAGATATGCAAACTAAATGACCAATATAGGAGAACATCCTTACTGTAGAGGTCATAGGTTGATTTAGTCAGCAACATTATTTCTGAGGTCTTATCAGATCTCGGAAGCAAAGCATAGCTAGGCCTGGTTAGTACTGGTATGGGAGACCTCCATGGATCCCAGGTTGGTGCTGTCAATATACTGTAAGAATATTGGCTCAGTTAGCTAAGAACTCATGCACACCACAAGTACGAATGGTGAAGAAAAATGCACAAACAAAAAAGCACTACACCTTGCTACATGACCTTGTTGTCTTGCTCTGAGATTGTACCCCTGAATCTGCAGGAGACACCCTGATTGTGGAAGAAGAGAAGAGCAAGCCGAAGCCCCAGCCTTCTGCCTCAGTGACGAAAGGCGGCGCGATGGATGGGCTGCAGAAGGAGTTGAGCCCTGTGCTGGCAAGGCGCGTGGTTCCTGCAGACAACTCCTGCCTCTTCACCAGTGTCTTCTACGTCATAGAGGGGGGCGTCTACGACCCGTCCTGCGCTCCAGAGATGCGGGGTCTCATAGCGCAAATTGTGGCCAGCGACCCGGCCTCGTACTCGGAGGCGGTCTTGGGGAAGTCGAACGAGGACTACTGCAGCTGGATCAGGAGGGATGACACCTGGGGCGGCGCCATCGAGGTGTCCATCCTATCCAAGTTCTACAAGTGCGAGATCTGTGTGGTGGACACGCAGACAGTGCGGGTGGACCGTTTCGGGGAGGACGCCGGCTACAACAGGAGGGTCTTGCTCATTTACGACGGGATCCACTACGACCCCCTCCAGAAGGAAATCTCCGGCTCGGACACGCCACCCCAGACCATCTTCTCCACGGCGGACGACATTATCCTGGCCCAGGCTCTGGAGCTGGCGGATGAGGCGAGGAGGAAGCGGCAGTTCACCGACGTCAACCGCTTCTCGCTGCGGTGCATGGTGTGTCAGACCGGCCTGGTGGGACAGGCAGAGGCTCGGGAGCATGCCAAGGAAACGGGACATACCAACTTCGGGGAGGTGTGAGTCACGCTTGCTCGCGCTCTCTCCCTGTCCCCGAGGTGCATTCTTCTACCTCACTACCCTAGCATAGTTCTTGGGTCCTTGTGGACATACTGTACCAAGATCCGTTAGTCCAGTAGTCAGTGTTACATTCAACTAAAGTGAACTAAGCTAAAAACCAACATGGCTGCTTTGCTAGGGCTTGAATCTAGTTGATTTTGTTTTTTTCAGGTCACGGTTATTATTGTATGTGCTGCAGATCATATTATCCTGCTTGCGTAACAAGGTGCATCTGTTGCTAAGCCCACAAGACTTTGATATTGAAACCAAAATCCTGAGGTGAGACATGTGCCTCTAGTCTCTTATTCCTACAAAAGTGCAATAGCACCACTGCAGCACCCTTTTTGGTTTCATCCTATTTTTCATGAAGATTTAGTTTTCCGTTTTAAAGGACCCTCTTGTTATCTATCTGGTGTATGGCCGTTTAAATTTTGAAACTTGAGGCTTTGGCGCTGAACAGTTGAACAGCGTGTTTTATTTAAAAAAAGGATGTTAACCCCAGGCATTTGAAAACAATGTCAGAATTGTATTTTTTGACTTTGTGCCTCAGTACCTGGGCATTATAACTAAGTATTAGATCAAACATTTATGAAACACATCAGCTTATATAGGGAAGATTGCAGTTCTGAAAAATATCATAGTATTAAATATTGTTCCATCTGCTCACTCAGAAGCTTAAACTTTTCTGTTTTAATGTTAGAATTATAGAGAATTTGCCATGCATCAAAACTGCCAAAATGAATGTGTCTGAAACTATCAAAACACTTAAAAAATCTGCAGAGTACGATTTCCTTTGCAGTAAGAGTTTCCTTCTTGAAATGTATGGTTTATTTAAAGTGAGAGCATTTAACTGAGTTCTTTCTCTTACAGACTGAGTTCTATATTTAACTACTTTTGCAACTAAATCCTATTATAGGTCATGATATCATGCAGGAAAGGCAATTTATAACATTAAAAGTGGCCTTGAAGTATTAATTTTGCCCATTAAATTACCAACAACTTTATTCTTTCAGGAGACAGGAGAGTCGACTCCTAATTCTAGAGGGCTGGAGAATTTGCAAGGTTTCTATGTCCTTATAAAAAGAGCTGAGCAGTTGTTATGTTGGTTCAATTAAGCTAATATAATAGCAAACTTATTTACATTAAGGGCTGTGTCTGAAACCTTGCACATATGCCACTCCACGAACCATTTCTGAATTTCAAAAATAAGCATACATTATGACATATAACCTGTTGCTTATATAAAACCCATTTTTCCCTTTTTATTGAATTGTACAGTTTTAGGCAGATAATGTAAGAATGCTTATCACATTACCATTGCGATTTTGAAGACAAAGCTGCATGGGTTTTCTTATCTGCTACTGAAAGAGTTTCAGATTTTAGGTAGACAAGCATGCAATATACAGCATTGTGTTTGGATTTGGTGCTATTAAAAATCTTAGTTTAGAAATCTACAGTTGTGGCTTATTCAACAAAGCATTAAAATAGTTGGATTTTCTATGAACTGAGAGGAGTGATAGATGTAGAGTTTCTGTGCTTCTTGACATGTTAAAAGTTTACATACATAGATGACGCTCTGAAACAGAGTTGGGTACTGTATATGAGCTTTTCCTTATGCAGAGTTCTCAAAGTCTTTCACTGAACATTTTGCACTGTAATTAGAAAATACAGAGAGAAATTAAAGACTCTCGATGAACATTGAGCCAGTGAGCCATGTGTAGGTTACCCATATTCAGACACTTGAATATAAACTGATCTGTGTTGACTGCCAGAAGGCACAAATGTCGTTCAAAAGAGGGCAGGAGAACGTATGGTTAGGTTTTTCATTTGTCATTGTTACTGTGGTGTATCTTAGTAACTGTAGCCAGAGATCTGATTAGATCCAATTGCATTGTCTCCCATAGAAAAATAATTGGGGGAGGGGAGTTAAATACCAGAAACATTGCATTTGGTATTTTATGAGATCGACTGACGGGATGATAACTTTTTCTATTGCATTCAAGGCACTGAGTCGGCTTAATTCTTCTGTGCTTATATTTCAGGGATACACCATCTCCAAAATTATATATGATTTTAAATCTCTAATTTTGTTACAGGGCCTCCTGACCTGTATTGAACTTTTTATTGTTATGGAACTGTGTGGTCAGATTTTAATCTTACGGATCCCCTTCAGGTCTAAAATAAAACTTTTAAAAGATGTAGCACTACTTTTAAATTTCTTAAGAATGCTAATGACTAGGTTTCACTGGAAATGTCTTGGGATGTGTTCTCATTTATTTTAAAAAATTTGATGGGAGTAGTTAGTATTTTCTATTTTTATATATACTCTCACTCATGGCTGGAAGTTTCAAGTAGTACATTTAATTACCTTTAATTGACCAGATTTAGAATTTCTTAACTATGCTATGAAAACAAATGTGTTTGTGGCGCATGTGACTGAACCACGGTGTTCATTGGGTATTTTAAAACACAATAGTTACTACTGTTAAGTATGAATATTATAAAGTACTTAACTCGCACAAGCTTTTGGTTTTCATCTGCAAAGAGTGATGTGGAGAATGAAAATGTAAAGAAATGAATTTCTGCATTACGTATTTTTATTATTGTTTCTTTGTCTTCAACAATGCAGAATATAAAGCAAGATCGTGCAGTACGTTGAGAAATTTAATGTTAGCAGTACTTGGAGCTTTTCACCAGGAATGCCACTGTATGTGTTGGTGTAATCTAAACCTCTGTCAAAACTGAAACATGGCTTTAAAACGTTGTTCTCTATTCACAGTAACTCCACATGCATGGATACGCAAGCCTATGAACCCATTACATTTACTCACAGCTTCTGAATGTTGCACATCAAGCACTATAGAGAAACACTACTGGTTTTACCTGATTTTTCGTTATTGTGTTTCTTTGAATTTGATAGAACATGTTGAGATTGATTCTGTATGTTTAATGAGTTCTTGTATGTTTAATGGTATCTGGCTTGGGGGTCTGGTAGTGATGCAGGAGAGCCAAACACACCTGCTCTAAGGGGATTTAATTAAGTTGTAAATGCAGCAGTTATGTTTGGCATTGCACTCAATTAAAAATAATTTATTTTGACTTGCTATTGCTTGTGAAAATAGCTCTTATTTCTGATCGCATGATATTGTTCACCTTGTATGCCAACAGAAAACAAGCTGCCCCCTTGAATTTCTGGAAAGAACTGTAGGATCCATCTGAGCTGTGTCAAGTGCCTATGTTTTAACCTAGTACTAGGGTAACCAAATGTAAGAATTCATTCAATCTAGCAGAATCTCTGGCACTGTATTACACACAAACCCACCTGCGACTCTCTGCATTGATCCGAAACAATCCTGTTTTCTCTTGTTCCAGACTCCCATCTCCTTTTTTGAGGCTCAAATTGGACTCATGAAGATAGAATATAAATGTACATATTAGTAATTAAAAGAAGTACATGGGTATCCCTTTTTTTTTCTCGTGTTAAGGCTACTTAAAGCCATTGTTTACAACACAAAAAAAATACAGAATACAGCTGAATGTTAAATGTTGAAGCAGTTTACCAGAGCAAAAAATAAGTCTTATAATTGCGTTAATTTTATTTGTTGCCATCGCAATTTATTCCAGATGCATTTGAAGTTATTTGTGAGTTTGTGTCAAAATGCTGATTTTTGTTACTTGGTATGTCAGCCACTGTCTTTTGACTCTATTTTAACAATGTTTGCACCACCTATGACAAAAGTGAGGTTACACACTGCAGTGTTATTTTATAATGCTGGATATAAGCATAGTACCTTTTGGAAGCAAAATAAAAATAAATAGAAAAAAATAAACTCTTTCTACTTTTGTCTGTTTCTAAATTGGCTTTCTGTAATGTGATTAGCTTGCATGACCAAATTCTCAGGTCTGTGTTTGCATTATAAATATATTTCTAATTCATTGTGCAGGGCAGTTTTGCATGTTACCATTGTAAAGATTTAAAAGTATGAGGATCAGAGGATCAGATCAAAAGTAAGATCCTATGGAATAGCTGACATGGATCAAGCATATACAGTAATGTGGTGTAGTTATGCCTAGCACCCTATTCTTCACAGCTAGGCTCTGGGCAGATGCTTCCCTTCCTAGGAATAAGAAGCTTTCTTACAATGGATAACGGACACTGTATATGAATGTATAGTGTATTGAATGAAGCGTTTACAGGCAACTCAGTTCCTTGAAGGAAAGCTTCATACAAGTTTTTAGGTACTTTCCAACCAGAATCTAGTTGACATGGGTTAACATTTTACCAAATAATTTCATTTACGTATTTACGTATCTGCGCTAGAATGAAAATTCAAAGGCATCAGGTTCTTGAGGACTGCCAATGATGACTTTCACCTAAGATGAACACGAGGAATTTCCAATGTAATCCATTCATCCATCCATTTTCTAATGCCAGTACATCGCAGGACACGCACAGGCATTCATACCAGGGCCAGTTTTCCCACAAGCCAATTAACCTACAGTACCAGTATGACTTTGGACTGTTGGTGGAAACTAGAGCACCCTGAGACAACTCACACAGATGTGCTGAAAACAAACTCCATGCAGATAGCTCCCCAAGTACAGGAGTTAAGGCCAGAGTTACGAGGCAACAATGCTAACCACTGTACAACTGTGCCACCTTTTCAATGTTATAATAATATCAAAATCAACAGTTAATGTCTTTAATTCATCTGCTCTGAGACACCTGGTCAGTCGTCCAACAAATAACCTGTTTTAAGTGGTATGACCCTTTATTTGTGGACGTTACAAAGGTTGGGCTGGTCTTTGAGGAGGAAAGAGTATTTTTGTGTATAATCAGAGTTTGCAATGCACATTTTCTCTTCCTGCCTTTGGTTCCAGGTGGAAACTGCCCACGTCGAGCCCCGTCATTCACATGTTTCACTGCATTCTACATACATAACTGCAGATATCTGGAGTCTTTTTAACAGAGGACACCCACAAATCACACAATTCAAATTCATGCAGGTTTTTCAAGTTAGCTCCAGCCAAAGGCAGACTGAAGTAACCACTAAATAAATAAAAAAAACTACAGCTAAAAGTAGGTGGGGGTAAGAGCAAGACTAAAAATGCCTAATACTTATTAAGTATTAAAAACAATAATATGGCACATAGAAATACGTAAATATGTTCCCAAATATAAAACATTGTTTATAGTTTTAAAAATATTTAAAATATTTTTTTTTTCGAGCAGGTCAGTTTGTCTTTGTAATTACAGTAGGTTGTGTTTTGATTCTGCAGAAGGTTTTTGGTAACAGGTTACTCACGTGAATAATTGAATGTCCATTTTTGACAAAAACAAGTGCTGTGTCCTAAGGATTTATAATATGGGTTTGTTATGGCGGTGTGCTGTTCACAAGGGGATTTCCAAAACAAAAAAGTAATTGATTTTGGAATAATTGAAGGTACAGTCTTATAGAATTTTAATCATTATCACTTTAAAACACTTTTTCATTACTTTTAATATTAATGGGCACTACGCATCTTTAAATGCCCAAAAGTCTTTATAAATCCATAATTGCTGGTCATTTAACTATAAAAGCTCTGCCTCATCATGCGATCACACAGGACTTATAAATGGGTATGACCTAATCTTGAGTCATTGCGCATCTTGGTTTCTTTGTTAATGAAATGTATATATATAGGTTTTTTTACGAGCACCATCTGTGCCTAGTTTAATAATGCTCAATACTGAACAACCCTGAAAATGACAGAAGCCTATTAGTGTCACAGAGAAGTCAGTGGCGTATGGAGAATATCCATGAAATTGAAATAAATGAATGCTTCTCAGGCATTTTCCACACGGAGATGTCACAGGCTGTTCAACCTAACCCCCCTAATAAATTGTTGTGCATTTAAGCATTAAGTAATGTAGATAGTTCACATATTCTGAAATGCTTACATCACACAATCTTCATAAAAATATTCTGAAATAGAATATGAGATTATGAGATAGATCTCATAATGGCCTTGTAGCTCTGATAAAGATGCCATTTACAGATATTGACTATAATGAATACAGAACTTCCTTTGTAAATTGACAGAACACTGACAAATGTACTGTACAAATTTGTTTCCACTTATAAAGTCTTGATTTAAATGATTTGCCAAGTTTTATTTTCTATGCAAGCCTATTAACACTACAGAGACAAAACAGGGTTCAGTACACTTCAGTTCCAATGTATACTATATGGTCTGATACTCGTCTTTCTACAAGATACAGTAAAATACTGTAGATACTGTACATACCGTGTGATGATCTGAGTGTGTGGATAGTTCCGTCTCTAAAGCTGGTCTATATTCAGTGGGTAGGGCATATGTTACACCTCAGATTCTTCTGTACCACAGCACCACAGCACCACAGCACAGATCTATGGAAGCTAATAATGACCTGTGTAATGTATTCCAAAGATTTAAATGGGATTATGTCATTACCAATTTACTTGGATTAGACTAAAAGTTATTTTGACTAATCTTTTACCTTTATACAGGATTTGAAGAAGGTGTGGATGTTGAATAATTTTTGCTTTCATGTAGACGCACACAATGAGGAGTTGAAACACATTCTCTGGTTTAAAGTAAAGCCTTACGTGTGTTTGGAAAAGGACCTCTCTTCCCAAAACCTTCACCCTCTGAAACATAGGAGATTTGCCTGGTCTGCCCTTTTTTTCTTTGCTCTTGCTCATTGTGCTGGTTGTGCAAAAGTTTTTGTCTTTGTACCAATATCCATGAAATTGAAATAAATGAAAAATTTGCAGTCATTCTCCACACAGAGATGTCACGGACTGCTCAGCCTAACCCTCCTAAAAAGTACTAGTGGCATCATCCTCGGTGGAGAAGTGTTCTCCATTTAGCCTGACCTGAAAGGATCAGTGGTATTCCAAGGGTGACTTGGATCTGGGCTGTGGTGTTAAACACAAAAACAAAATGGAATTATTTTAATTGCAAGGTTTTTCTTATTTTTTTTCCTCAGGAAATTCAATGTTGCAGTTCTGGATTGCTAAAAAGTCCGTTTGCAGGCCAGATATTGTCTTCTAACTTGTGTACAACAGACCAATCAATGTATGGTAGGTACCATGTATGATGGTTGATATATGAGAGTCTTGTCGTTACAGATCTCTACTTGTAGTGATTAATGGTAACATGACTGCTCTGCATT